ATTATATGCAGGGGAACATCAATGACGCCTAGCTCCACACCCTGTAATAAAACTGACCCACCAGTAGAAGTCTGCTCAGACAAAGGAAGCACGCCCTCTAACAATAACGTCTGTGCAGCACCAGTATCTCTCAAAATCTGGACAGGTTTTATTTCGCTAGAGTCACCGAGTGAAACAAATCCCTGAGACATAAAGGGCTTATAATCCTCCATAGAATCAATAGAACTGGACTGTGAACCCTGGACATCAGGAGTGTCAGAACAAATCGAAACTAAGGCTTCTCTATCTCCTCTAACTGCCGCACAAGCATGTGGTTGAGTTTTATCAAAGTCATTTTTTCTCTTAAGTTTAAAGCATTCACTGATCAGATGACCTTTTTTCTTACAATAACTACAAGTAGGAAGCGACCCTATTCCAGAAGATCCTTCAAAACGTCCTGGACCGGACTTAGAACCACCTTGGGATGGAGACTGGGAACTTGTGAAAGACTGAGACCCTGAACCACTCTTTTTATATGTGTCTGAATTGGTAGAATTACTGCTAGTCTGAGATCTTGATACAAAATTCTTTTTATGAGACAGAGCATAAGTATCAGATATGACTGCTGCCTCTGCAAGAGTTTTCACATTCTTATCTTCTAAATGTGTTTTCAAATCTTGAGGAACACATTCCTTAAACTCTTCTACCAGGATGACTTGGCGCAAATTAGCAAAAGTTTTATCAAGTTTCTTAGATCTAAACCAATGATCGAATAAATCTTCTTTCTCTCGTGAAAATTCAACAAATGTTTGATTATCAAACTTTCTATACTTTCTGAACTTTTGTCTATACGCTTCAGGTACTAATTCATATGCTTTTAATATTGATGCTTTAACCTTCTCATAGTCTGAACTCTCAGCTACCCCTAGTGCAGAGTATACCTCAGCTGCTTTGCCAACCAGTACACTTTGTAACATTGTTGACCAAACATGTTGTGGCCATTTAAGATTTTCTGCGACTTTTTCGAATTGGGGAAAATACTTGTCTACAGATTTTTCTTGAAATTTTGGAACTAATCTAATATTTTTTGCTGCGTCAAATTCATTCTTGACAAATGACGGTTCTGGTTGGTGCTGTAATCTTAATTTCTCTAACTCAAAGTGCTCTTGTCTTTCTAATTTGTCTAATTCAAATTTTCGTTCACGCTCTCGTTCTTCTCTTTCTCTTTCTCTGTCTCTTTCTCGCTCTTCTCTTTCTAATTTTTCTCTTTCAAATCGCATTTTCTCTAACTCTAATTGAAACTGATATTCTGCCATTTTGTAAGAGCCTAACTCTGATCTAACTGTATATTCTGGAAGATCGTATTTTTCAAAGATGTTTTCTTCTACTAGTTTGTTTGCAACCTTAATTCTAATGTCTTCCTTTCTCTGAGAGGATTTAACATCTAACCCAAAATGCAAACCTAATGCGATCAAGTCATCCTTTTTTAACGTATCAAAAACCTGAACACTTGGTGAACTAAGAAAGTCTGTGACCGAAAACACCATGTTGATTTCTGCTGGCTTATAATCAAATTTAACGGTTCAATAAACAAAATTCTGACAATAAACTGCAAAAGTGCAAGAAATTCTTTATCCCGGACGAGCCCCCAATTATGTTATGGGTCAGAATAACCCTAAATGCCAGCAAAGATCAATCACACAGTTTAAACTTAACAATAATTTATTTACAGTAATATACAAATCATTAAGTACAAACTTAGCAAAAATCTAAAAATACATACATCAGAGTGTCCGTTGCTGCACACAATGTCCCAGTGAAATTATATCCCGAGTATGTCTCGAGTAGCCCTTGTTTTGCAGCTTCTCACAATGGAATTATGTGATGAAAAGTGGTCACATAAAAACATCAAATCATGAAAGATTCAATAATTAGAAAAAGTCAAGCTTAATGGCATATGATTTCTATGCTGTATGTCATCGAGCTGATGACATTATTTATTGAACGTCCCTCGTAACTTCTGTATTTTCTGTACATTAATGTAACACTTAGGTGCAAGATGATAGAAGAATGTTTCATCTGTTCAAGTCGCACGCGTGGCGCAGTGGTTAGAGCATCTGCTCTAGAGTCGCGAAGTAAGGAGTTGATCGCGGGCTTCAATCCCACTGTGGGACATGGAAACCGGTCCTTCGGATGAGATCGCATAAACCGAGGTCCCGTGTCGCAGTAAAAGATCCCTCCGTGCTCAATGGCCCTGAGTGCCAAGTATAGGATAAAATTTGCAGCTCTTCACTGGCAAGTGGTGGCGTGAAAAGTCCTTGAGAGGGACTTTAAACAATATACAATCAATCAATCATCTGTTCGACTGCTTTCAATGTTAAAAATGATGGCATGTTTTCAGATCAACTTTCTGAAATCTTGCAAAGATACCTTCAAACGCAAAATTCAAAAGTTTCAAATCATAAATATAAAATAATTTTATTTTAATAGTAACAAATTACTATGTTGAAAGATAAAAAACACTTTGTTATTATATCATTTGACATGATTTCTTTATGCAGTTTTGTCATTTTCGGTGCCACATTTCGACAAAACCAAGACAAGTACGGAAAATGTGCAACGTATTTAGAAAAATACTCATCTGATAGAAGTGAATTTGAACATTTCAACTAAATAGTATCATAGAAAGCTCGATTGTTTAATTTGTGGATACCTGTGATAGAACTATACACATGTAGCATCATACAATTTGTACACACATTTCTTTTTGATATTTCCATTACCAATTGTTTTCCCTATGATAAACACTACAAAAATGAATCTTATTAATTTCTCCGTGATTCCTGTGCCATGTAAATTTCTCTATTGAAATACTACTGAAAGGTCAATGTCAAACTCGCATATATATGAGAGGCGTATAAATACACTGCACTCACTGAAGAAAAGATGTTTTGTTTAATTGTTTACAAAGTAATTAGATTATGATATATCTTTTTACAAACAAAATAAATAATGAATTATTTTGGATCAAAAGCAAGTCACTAGCGCAACGCTGTCCATTATCACCGAGGCCTCACGAGACCGAGAACATAGGGCGGGGCAATGGAAAATAGCATGGAATGTCTCTTGCATTCAAATCTACTAAATTAATATAGCATCTATCTCGCCCATATGCGAATAAGATGCTTTTATCTTGGCAGCGCAATATTTTTTGGCGCAGTTATCTCTCCTTGTTTCAGCACGAGTTATCTAACTTTCAATTATATGAAGAAAGGTGCTCGTGCTGCAAACTCTCTCTTTGCTGGTTACACGCTAGTTGCAAGGTTGGTGTTAATCAAATTTGAGAAAACAATCGCTAAGTGTAGATTTAAGAATCTCCAGGGGTCAAGGTCACCTGATATGTTGATGTACTGAAATGTTTGTTGACCTTGGCCTCTGCAACTCCCAGGGTCAAGGTCACCAGATATGTTGATGATGCACTGAAATGTTGTTGTTGAAATGAAATGTTCTTGTTGTTAAACTGAAATGTTGTTGTTGAAAAATGTTGTTGTTGTTGCTGGGCCTACCCGTTGCTTTGGAGGCCCGAAATAATATGTTGTTATTTTATTCAGCCGTGCCCAAAAGCGCCAAATAAATAAAAAAAAGCATAAATAAAAATTCTCTTTGTTTTATTGCGTCTGTCCAAGATAAATGGTATTTCGATTTATTTTTAGATTGTTATTTAAAGTAAAAATGGAAATATAAGGAATCGCTGTTTAGTTAGGAGGGTATGTCAGGGACATCAACAATAGTGGGAAACATGGGATAATTTAAGCATAACGGGCGAGTAAAAACATCGAGTTTAAAACTTGAGATAATGATTTTAGAGAATACGCACCTTTAACAAGAAATATTTAATAATATATGGGAATTGTCTAGTACTGAAACTTATTAATTTCAAGTTTTATTGCAAGAAAAATGTGTCTTTTTTTGTGCGAAAAACCCTGTGAGTTTAAAAAATGCGTTCATGTGTATAACGATTAATATTTTGTTGAATAAATGCACGTCAAAAAATTTTTAAAAAATATATAAAAAAATCTTTTTTCTGAAATTATCGAACCTTAGAATTTATGGACACGTTTGATTGACACACATCATTGTTCTTAATCAAAGTAAACTTTATACTTTATAATTATTGATAAGAAAATAGGAAAATTAAATGTTGTGTATTAATGTAAAACATTTAAACCTTAATCCGGCTCCACAGCATTGTACGTGAGAGCTTGATAAGAGTTAACAAATTGAACATGTTGAACATACCCGTAAACTGTAAATATTTACAAGAGCAGAGTTTGCATCCATGTTAAGTAACACAGATTATATTGACATGTTATTATGAAAAATACATCAATTACAAGAATTTCCATGTTAATTCAGTCGATGAAATTGAGGCCATTTTTAATGAAAAGATTTTAATTGTGAAAAATAAAGGCAATCAACTCTATCTAATCCATTTAAATTGAAATTAATATGGGGTATTGATTTGTTATTTGTCATCTTCACAAAAAAAAGAAAAAAAGAAAAGAAAAGACAAAGCCAATAAATAAAATAATGTAGAGCCGGATTATGGTTTTAATTTTTTACTTTATTTAATGGATTTAAAAAGATTTCATTTGAATTACTCAATTGGTACGTTTAAGCCATGTGCTAGGAATATCTCATTTTATTCAATGAAAAAATATGAAAATATTTGATCTACTTTAAAAGATGCAGACATACCAGAAGAGATGAAAACATTATTGGAAGGTAAATATGAAATATTTCATTTAAAAAACTATTAAAATTTGCTGCTTTTAACAGTATTCTATTATTGAATATCCCTTAATATAGCAAACCTTTACATCTCTGTCATGGTATAGCAATTTATAAAGTTCATTAAATGTCTTTCTTTATATCAGATTTCACAAAAGGACTCGAGATCAAAGTTTTAATTTTACAACATCGACAATAAAAGTATTTATATTTTTATTTATTTTTTTTAGATGGGAGTCATACACATGATTCCGAACCAGGAAATTACAAGGAAGAAGATCTAAGTATGAATATTTCTTATATTATAATTATAATACACTGTATACGTACGTACGTGTAGCTTTTGAGTCAAGTTCTGAATTGAGAAAATAATAATGAAAGATATTGCACAGGCTGAACGGAATTAGAAGAAAATTAATTTGTATAATTTAAGAGCACCATTAAATGTTGAAGTATTAATTTAGAACTTTCTATGAATTTTGTAACTAAAAATTTGTTAGTAAAATAGTAATAACAGTAATTAATATGAAGATATTTTTAGACGTGTGTGCTTAAATATAATAAGAAGAATTTTTTGGTTGAGAGAACAGTCTTCATTGTCATTACCAAACAATTTGGATGAAGTATTTTAAGTATTTTATTTGAACCGGAGACATTACATCTCATAGGTAAACAATATTCATACATAAGATTTGTACAGGCTATACAATATACATGTAATAATTGCATAACAATATCATTCAATTATTATTTAGAACATCATTTCTTAATTGATGAGAAAAATACAAAAATTTGCCCAGGTTACATAGTTCTTTAGTATTTGTAGAACTCAATAGCTGTACTAATTTAGATACTGATGGTATTTTAAAATAATAACACTTAATATATTTAATTCTAAGTTCTTCATATCGAGGACATTTTAATACAAAATGAAATTCGTCCTCTATCTCACCTGACCTACATATTTCACATTTTCTATCTTTTCTTTCTATATTACTGTACCTTCCCCTTTCTATTCTTAAATCATGATGTGATAGCCTTAAACGACTGATAGGTATTCTATACTTAGAATGCAATGGTTTTCTTAAATAAGTCTGTAATGCAACATTATCCACTAAATGTTGAAATAGAAAATATATAGGAGAATTACAAATTCTTGCCATAATTTCTTGTTTATAACAGTCATACATTCTTTGAAATATAATGTTCAGAGTATTATTATCAATACAATCACTATTATACATGTCAGCTAAACCAAGCCTTTGGAATTCCTTCTTAATGTTTACAATCCATTCATCATTATTTTCAACCATATCTTGATAACATGCTTGTAATATACAATTATCACTGTTTTTTAATTTCACCGAGTATTTCAAAATTTTCTTTTTCCTTTCAAGTATAAGTGGAAATCTACCTGATTCACAATAAATTGCATCATTACTAGTGCTTTGTCTGACCTTTAAGACTCGTTTACAATAATTCAAGTGAACATTTTCTATGTCTTGACCCTTGTGAAATCCCCATACTTCAGCTCCATAACTCATAACACTGTTAACATAAGTATCGAATACAGCTAATTGTGTTTCTACGTTAAAATGCAAATCCCTGATTTTACTATTTACACCGTACATAGCTTTTTTACCTTGACATGAAAAATGTTTCTGTGTTTCAGTAAATTTTCCATTATAATTAAATAACATACCTAGATAATTAAACTGATTAACAACTTCAACATTGCAACCGTTGTATATCCAACGTTCATTTTCCAGTATTTTACGACTATTGCGAAAAATTAATATTTTTGTTTTTTCAACATTAACAGTTAGATTCCACTCCGTTGTGTATGTATATAATGCATCCAACATTCTTTGTAAACCCTCAGCTGAGTCAGATATCAAAACAGTATCATCTGCATACATCAGTAAAAATATATTTATCATCTGCAGTTCGATTGATGGACAATTATTTGTAATAAAGTGACGTTCAAAGTCATTCAAATACATAGAAAATAATAATGGTGATAAAATTTCACCTTGTAACACACCAGACGTAATTTTGAAATACTCTGTAAGTAAACCATTATATTTTACACATGCCTTAATATTATCATATAAAGATTTGATAATACAAAATAATTTCCCTTGAATACCCTGAGTACTAATTTTAAGCCACAAGTTAATTCTATTGATATAATCGAAGGCTTTTTGATAATCTACAAAACAACAATAAAGTTTTCTTTTGTTCCCTAAGAATTTGTTAACTAATGTCTGTAGAACAAATATTGCATCAATGGTACTTGCACCTGACTTGAATCCAAATTGCGCGTCTGTAGTTATGTTATACTCTTTATCCCAATGCATCAGTCTATTATTTAACATGCTTGTAAATAATTTAGCCATGCAACTAACAAGTGTAATTCCCCTATAATTATTAGGATTATTACTATCCCCTTTCTTAAAAACTGGCACTATACACCCAGTAGCCCAACTCTCTGGATAATGGCCTGACGTAAAGATTTTATTGAACAACATGCATAAAATAGGCATGAGTATTTGTTTACAATGAATGAAGAATTCGTTAATCATACAATCTTCTGCATTACTTTTATTATGTTTTAATTTATCGATAGCATATTCAATTTCTTGTACCGTAATTTCCTGATCTAATTCACAGTATACTGATGATTGTGTCTCTACGTAATTAAATTCATTATTCCAATTGTTTTCTGTATTACATTCAAGCAAGGTTTTGAAATGTTCTAAGAAATCGTTAGCCGATAAATATGAACTTACTTGCCCTTTCTTACGTTCAAACAATTTGTAAAATTTTTTGGGGTTATACTTCCGAATATACTCGATTTTATTACCTTGATGTCTCTCATAATTGTGTCTACATTTTTTCATAACTTTCTTGTAAGCCGCTTTTTTATTAACTAATATTAATCTATTATCAGTAGATTTCTGTTTATTAAAATGGTTAAGAGCTGTCTCATATTCTATGTACTTTGTCTTACGCTCTTCATTAAACCATGGTTTATCTTCAGTATGTTTTGAATTAATATTTCTATTCATATTAATAGATCTAGTACTCTGTGTAATTTTACAGTAAGGCAGAATTAAATCACATAATGTTTTACTAAAATTATTAACACACTGATTTACTACTTCTGTGCTATCAAACGAATGAATCAGACAATCAGAAAGCAAGTCAAAGTTATTATTGAGAGTAGTATTTATCTGCGTTACATTTTCTTCAACCCATTTTACTGATTTAAAAACCGTTCTACCTGATTGCTCTTGACCACAAACAACCTTACTTTCTTTATATGCACCACCTATAGAAAAAATAATTGGTGCGTGGTCAGAAAAAACAGAAAAATCTCCTAAAGTAAAATCTACAATATTAGTAGCGTTTTCACTCTTTGTTATTAGATAATCAATAGTACTCATACCATTTGCACCATAAAAAGTGATACCCCCATGTTGATCATTTTTATGTCTTCCATTGATAATTCGCATACCAGTGGTTTTACACAAGTCTATCAATTTTCTACCAAACTTATTCACAAAACTCTCACTGTTGTTCCTTGTAGACTCGTTTGTATTTAAATCGTAATCGGTAAAAGCTTGCATATTATCTGTTACCGATTTATTTATCATATCGTTCCTTATAAAATCATCTAAATTACCACATCTAGCATTTAAGTCTCCTGTTAAATAAACCTTTCCCTTGCTAGCAAATCTGCAAATTGATTCTTCTAAATACTGAAAAATATCTACATCTTCTTTTCTATAAAAAGTACTTTTTTCAGGTGGTATGTAGCAAGAAGCTAAATAAATAGGCTTTTCATTTACATTTGACTCTTTTCTAATTTCTAGCCAGATAACAGTATTGCAAAAACATTCTATAATATTAACACTGATACTGGGCAAGTTTTTATAAAAAATGACAATACCTCCCCCTCTTCCACAATTTCTAGGGAAAGTGTAACAATTGTACTCATCTAGATTAATACATAATTCATCACCTGCACAGATCCAGCATTCTAAAAGAACTATAATATCATACTTATTTACAATATTTACAAACTCCTTATCTTTCAGCTTTTGTCTAATACCCTTATTTACATTCCAAACTATGAACGAAAGGTTAGAAGTGAAGTCACTGACCTCTCTACCTCTACAAAGTTGATCAGTCACATGATTGCTGCGGCCGCACTCACGATGAAGAACGTCACGCTGCTTGGATGTGGCGGCCACGCACTCCTATCTGAAACCCATTGCAGTGTTCTGCGATGGAGCGTGGCTCCGGTTATTATTTGCGTTCATATCATAGTCCATAGGATCGTTCGTGTCCCAATCTTCTTCCTCTGCGTACATGTAGCTATGATTGTCCGGGTCATACTGCCGACCGTTCATAAATTAATTTATCGCGCACAAGTTTGACATGCGCCCCCTCGCTACGTAGTTGGCGCATGATTGGTATGAGCTCCCGTCGACGTTTTTCCATGGTCACTGGATATTGTCTATGTACTCCAAAGGATGTTCCCCGTAGCCAACTTGATCGTTCCAATACCATATCCAGATCCTCTTGATACAGGAAGCTAGCTACAATTGGTCGGGGTTTCCCTTTAGTGAAGCGTCCGAAGCGATGGACGTTACTGAATTCTACGTGATGCGTAATCTCCAGTTCGTTGTTAAGAAATTGACGCAGCTTTTCCTGTGTATTTTCATTCTTTCTCTCTCCTCCCAAACCACTAAAGACCAAGTTCATTTTCATTGACATTTTTTTTTACTAGTTTCAAAAGTCTGATTCATAAATTCCATTGCCTTTTCAACTTCTGTTATTCTTTTATCCGCTAAACAGACTGTATTTTTAACTGTTCTTAATTCTGTTTCAAACTGACTTAGTTTCATTTCAATAATGTCCAGTTTTTTGTAATTTCCCATTCATTTCATTAACTGTCTGGGTAAGTAAGTCAATTCTACCACAAAGGGACTCATTTAATTTGTTAATTGGTGAAAGAATTTCCATTCCAAAAATGTTGCCTGAGGGCCTTGTGGACCTTCCGAAGTCATTGTTGCCCCATTCAACCCGTTTTCTCTGTCTTTCGTGGTCGATACAGGCGTCGAGCTCATGCGTGGAGCTGAGAAGTCTTCACTCTGAGTATTCTTTACAGGTATCTTACTGTAACTTTCACCACTGATATTTGGATTGTCATTTTTTCTCTTTGGATTTCTCTTTTGAGTTTCACTTGCCATAACTAGGGATCATTTTACACAAA